GKYYTYYTYYTTCATCCTCTGAGTGGCGCTTRGCCTCRGAGGCCTGTTTCAGGGTGGCGCTTTMCTTTGGAGGCTGTATCTGGGTGGCRCTTGAGGTTTCAKGGGCTCAGGGGTGTTACKAGTGGTTACTCAGGGTTGGGGAGTGAAGCGCTGCTCATTTCTGAGCAGCGCACTGTAGTAYYGAGGTTATCCTSACAATTTGAGACTCKGAGTTTAATAAACAGTGTGTAACTGGGTTTGGAMTATCATCGTTTCATTGTTTTCCTRGATGTGATCTRCTCGACTTTTCTTTATGACTGGTTGTGAGGATTGARTGGAGTGAATTGCACTTTCAGTGTACCCTGTCATATCGCATGGTCATGTCTTCCGCTGTGTTTATCTCTCCCTGTGCAGTGTGATACTCCTATCCTCTCCCCTTCCTTTTGTGTATGTATGGGCATACCTGGAAGTCTATGTGTGCGAGTGTTAGTATCAGACGACAAACAACCAGAATCATAACAGTTGGTATCAGAGCGATTGGATCCAGGCTCTTGAGCGATTGATGAGTTGGAGCAACCATCATCATCTGGCGAGATACTGGAGTTGAGTCATGGCGATTCATCATCTTCAGAGTTGTTGTCAGTAAGGGTGGTGGTAGTGAGTGTGTGGCGAGAAGAATTGGACAGAAGGTGACTCACTCCTGACTAGGATTGTGCAGGAGTGGTTCGCGATTGGTGCTCAGAGGCCTGAGAAGCTCTGGGAGGCTATTCTTAGCTTGGCGATTCATCTGCAGGCTGGCGATTGGCAAGGAAGTGATCCCAGGGGGTTGCGATTTTGGAATTGGATCAGGATCCCCAATTTCCAAGCAGCGCAGTACAGGGTGATGTGGCGCTGCACTGAGTTTGCCAATTATTGGCACCTGGGAGTCCAAATTCATTGAATCTGCTAGTTGGGGGTGAAGCGCCTCAGGGTAATCTACTAGATCACCAAGTTTCAGGCAGTTTGAGACGTGGGAACACTGGGTACTGTCAGGAGATGAAACTGGCGAGATGGGGTTGACCAGTTAGCCATAGCCAGAGTTTCATGAATCCTCTTCAGAGTTGACCCTCAAGTAAGTGTGCTCCTTATTCTACCCTGTCTGGAGATTCTGGGGCTATTTTTAGAATAGTGAAATTTGGTTTGTCTGTCAGTGTACAATTGAAAATCGAAATTCAGACTGTGAGACAACCATATCCAACTTCCCCTACCTATCTTCTTTGACTTCTACTAACCCTGTTTGACCTCCTTCCTGACTCATATTTCATCTGTGACTGTTTTACAGTATTGCGATTTATATTGTGTAGTGAATTGGTGTATTCAGGGTCTGTTGTTAGTAATAATGCAAATTTGAATTTTGCGCTGACATGGCTAAAGCTTGGCTAAACTAGGTTCAGTCATAACTTTGAGTCTGTCCGTCAGAATTCAATTTTGTCAGTCCCAGGTAAATGGCAATTCAGTATGCAGTGTCTGTCTGAAATCGCACATCCAGACTTGATGTCTTGAGTCAGTTACAGTGAAAACTGTAATTCGCCATACAGGGTATGGCATATAGGGTCATACAGTGGCGAAGTCTGCAGTAGGGTTACCTGTAAATCGCTGCATCTTGGTCATCAGTAGACACCTGTCAAACCCTAATTAGTCACTCTGTCTAATTACTAACCAACACTAATCAGTCCAAGACTACATCGTGTCAGTTATTGAAGCAGGATTTGCATTTATTGCATACAATTGTTGTGTTAGGGCAGGGATTGGAAAATCATGAAATTGATTTTTGTTGAGCGTACTCTTAACTGACCCTGTCCCTCAGGTGGTTTGCAGAGGCTGAGCACTCACTTGCTCAAACTAACCAACCTCCTCTCTCCAGGCAGGTGACAGCAATTGAGTGAGTACTGAAGAGAAATCTCAATTTTTGTTACCTCCTGTTTTGTCTCTGATTAATTTATTTTTTATTTATCTGAATTGTGGGTGAGCAAAATGGCCAATTCCGAGAAGGGCGAAGTCCCTAAGAAGGGAGAGACTTCCGAAGTGAAGCCTCAGGTACCGCCCAAGCCGCCGGTTCTGCTTGACCCTCTAGAGGCTGAACTACGGGCCTAGGAGAAAATACTTCGCCAGCAGGCCAAGGCAGTTGAGTCTCTAAAGGCTGAGCTAAAGAGAAAGGAGGAATCTGCCAGAAAAAAAACAAGAAGGCGGGAACTGACAGCTGACGTGGAGAAGGTTAGGACTAGTGGCAGCTCCA